TGTGATTCTGCAAATATGGCCTAAATGACATTTCTCCAACCCTTCCAGCTCCTTATATTATACTTATTTTAGATTAAAACAGCTGGAATTATTTCTGTGTCTTGAAATAAATCTTACTATAGGAATTTGTATTAGTTATCTATCATGTGTAACAAATCCCCTTCTCCCCAACCTAGTGGCTTAAAATAACAAATACTTATTGTCTTATAGTTTCTGTGGGCCAGGAATTCAGGAGAAGATTTACTTGGTGTTTCTGCCTCAGAGCCTCTTCTGTGATTGCAAGTCAAGATGTCAGCTATGGCTGCAATCACCTGACGGAATGACTGGGGTGGGAGAATCCACTTCCAAGATGGCTCAATGACAAGGTCATTGACAAGATGCTTCAGATCCTAACTTGCTATTAGCAGGAGGCCTCACTTCCTCACTGTGTAGGTCTTGCTACAGAGCTGCCTGGCTGTCCTTAAATCATAACAACTGGTTTTCCCCCCAGCGCAAGCAATCCAAGAGAGAACAAAGAGGAAGCTGCAGTGCCCTTGATGACCTTGTCTCCTAAATTGCATGCTATCACTTCTGCTTTATTCTATTTGTTAAAGCGAATCCCTAAGTCCAGCCCACACTCAAGGGGAGGGAATTTAGTTTCCACTTCTTGAAGGGAAGTGTGTCAAAGAATTGCATACATATTTTAAACATATTTTCACAGATGTGAAAGTATATTATTTTGTATATTTTCTATGCAGTTTGTATATAATATCTAACACTTATAAAATACCTCTCATTATTAGTAATAATTCCAGCAACCCCATATCAGACTATCTCTTCTATTTTGGCAACTGGTCACATTTCTTTAATCTTTCTTCTATCACCTCAATTTTTCTTCTTCAAAGGCAAGTTTTCATAAAGGTTAATTTGCCTCTCCTTACTCAAGCTAATGTAAAGATTTGTTCCCAGTAGTCACTATGGATACCATGATTTTTCATATTAAATAATTATCAGTAACCACAGACCTATCTTATATATGAGTAAAAAATAAAATTCTACAATTGTTTCAAGGCAGGAGGTACCAAGAGTAACTAAAATATAGGTATATCACTTTAAAAGTGTCAGTGTAGGGGTTACCTGGCTGTATCAGTGAGAAGAGCATGTGACTTTGAACTCAAGGGTGTGAGTTTGAGCCCCACACTCAATCAAAAGTGTCAGGGTTAGGGAGTAAGAAGGGCTTGAATTATCTTACTGAATTCATTGAAGAAGTGAGTTAGAATATTTAATAATAATTTCAATTCATTACATATTTTTTAAAGAAGTGGTGAAATTATGTAAAGGGTTCCCATTGGGGGCGCCTGGGTGGCCCGGTCGGTTAAGTGTCTGTCTGACTTTGGCTCAGGTCAAAGTCAAGCCCCACATCAGACTCTGCACTGGTAGTGTAGAGCTTCCTTGGGATTCTCTCTCTCTCCCTCTCTCTCGCTCTCTGCTCCTTCCAAACTTGCCTGCATACTCTCTTTCTCTCTCACATAAATAAACTTTAAAATATTTTAAAATAAAAATAAAAGGTTACCACTGAAAAAAGAAGCATGCCCTTTTATGAACAGAGACCACCCTCATGCAGCAGAAACATTTAGCAAGATATTTCAGAAGTTTTTCAACCATTCAAAAGAGAAGATTCTAATGAAGCTATAGTCATGTCACAAAAAATAAGAAATTGCATTAACCGTTTATACCTGCTTTAATGTCCCAAGCCATAACTTGGAAATCTAAAATTTTTAAATGGTATGTGTGTATGTATGTATGTATGTATTCCTTAAACCCTATCAGTAAAAGTGATCTAGCACTTAGCACAGTGTTGAGCCACAAGACCAGTTACAGATATAGAGTAAATGCCCATTAAATTTCCTTGTATTAATTGATGGATTTATGTAGCTAATGAGTGAAATCCAGTCACCTCAAGAAAAGTGGTATCAGCCTGGGGGACAATCACTTCAAAGTTCATTAGCCTTCCAGCTCATTTCACTTTACTTGACTGGTTTTCTTTTATGCCCTAGATGTGTGAGCCCCTAAAAATTTTCAAAACTAATATGTAGGAGGTGCGCCTAGGTGGCTCAGTTGGTTAAGCGTCCAACTTCAGCTCAGGTCATGATCTCAGGGTTTGTGGGTTCGAGCCTCGCGTCAGGCTCTGTGCTGACAGCTCAGAGCCTGGAGCTTGCTTCAGATTCTGTATCTCCGTCTCTCTCTCTGAGCCTCCCCTGCTCATGCTGTCTCGCTCTCTCTCAGAAATAAAAACAATTTTTTTAAAACTAATACATAGGATACCATAAGACATAGCCCACATCCCCACCCCAACCTGCCTAATAAATGGAAAATACTAAAGCATGACAGATAATGGTGAATGAAGTAAGGATGTTGAATTCTAAAGATAAATCTAAAGGTATCATCAAATTCTTATTACTGATTGTCTTTTTGCAGTACTTCATGCTGATCTGCCTGTACCTGGTTGGCTTCTTGTCAGGTTGTTCTCAATTCTTCTTTACTCTAACTACATATACATAGTTTCCATTTCAAAAGCTAAGATAAATTGTGCTATAATGTAAAGTACTGTATGAGATATGAGTGCATTTGACATGGTTTTAATGATAGAATTGACCTCAACAGATATATAGGGACAACGGATGGCATCCACTATAGAAGGGTAAAGATAAACTTAAGTAGACTAGAAAGTACAAAGCATTTCAGCACTTGAATAGCCTTTGATCCTAAGAACGCTACCAACTGTTAAGGGAGGTATATTAAAACACAATGTGTAGGGACACACCTGTTAATTTTGGATAATGCAATAGCCTTGATTTACATAAGCCACCCATCAACCAAGAAAGGGAACACCTAAGAGATGAGTCATGGCCTTTTCTTGACTCTTTGGCTGTACTGGTCAAGTGTATTGTTTAACACACACACCTACACACACCCCAATAATAAAAAGTAATCACTTGCTTTTTTGACAAAAGACTATTGTCAGGACATAGATATGAAATCTGAGGAATCTCTAGTAATCATACTATGAATACCATTAATACCTGGGGAAGATACGATGACCACACCCACAATGTTCTCTCCAAATGACTTATACAATCTAGTCTTCCCAGTAGGATGAGGCAAAATGATGCACTTCACCCTAACTATAAGGAGGCTTAGAAATAGTCTAGTCTTCAAGAAGAGTTGTGACAGCAATTCTTCTGGTAGCATTAGATAATGACTAGTCGTACAGTCCTCCAATTGTGTATTTACTTCCTCAGAGAAATGAAAACTATGTTTTTAGATCTGACAAGCTTAATAAAGGATGTCTGTAAATCATATTGGAATGTTTAGTTCACGCATTAAATACGTATTTGATTTGCTCAAAAAACTCTTTACATAGCTACAATTGTGCCAGTCATTATGCAAGGTTATAGGGGCAGAAAGTGGAATAAAAAGGTGGATAAGACTGAATTCCTCCTTGCATAGAAATTTACAGTCATATAGGGGAAAAATAAAGGAGGAAGAAACCATGGGGGAGGGGAGGGTAGGAAGATTCACATTGTCCTCCCTGTTACTTTTCAATATATATTTTGTATTTTAATTTTTTTATCATTATTTTAAATTTATTTCTTTATTTCGAGAGAGGAGTGTGCAAGGGAGGGGCAGAGAGAGAGGGAAAAAGAGAGAATCCTAAGTAGGTTTCATACTGTCAGTGCAGAGCCTGACTAGGGGCTCAAAACCACGAACAGCAAGATCATGACCTGAGCCTAAGTGAAGAGTCATTTGTTTAACTGACTGAACCACCCAAGTGCCCCTTATTATTTTTTTATTTTAGGAAGAGAGAGAAATCATGCACGTGCAAGTGGGGGAGGGGCGGAGGAAAGGGGGGGGAGAGAGAGAGAGAGGGAGAATTATAAGCAAGCTCCATTCTCAACATGGAGTCTAATGCAGGGCTGGATCTCACAACCCTAGGATCAGGATTCCAACCAAAATCAAGAGTCGGATGTTCAACGAACTGAGTTATCCAGGCATCCCTATATATTTTTATTATTATCAAACACATATGGTTGATGCTTTGAAAAAGTAGTTCTACAAGGTTTTCCCTTTCCCATTACATTTAATAAAGGCAAATGAGTCGTTCTTCCAGAAGGCTCATGGAAAAGGCAGCACGGATTTTATTTTAATTTCAGTATAGTTTACATACAGTGTTATACTGGTTTCAGGTGTAAAATATAGTGATTCAACAATGCTATACATTGCTCAGTGCTCATCATGGTAAGTGCACTCTTCATCCTCTTCACTTATTTCACCCATCCCTCACCCACCTCCCCTCTGGTAACCATAGGTTTGTTCTCTGTAGTTAAGATTCTATTTCTTGGTTTCTCTCTCTCTCTATTCCCTTTGCTCATTTTTGCTTCTTACCTTCCACATATGAGTGAAATCACATGGTATTTGTCTTTCTCTGACTTAACACTCTCTAGCTCCATCCATTTGGTTGCAAATGGTAAGATTTCATTCTTCTTTATGATAGAATAATATTCCACTTATATATAAGATATATATAATGATATAATACATATCTATCTATCTATCTATCTATCACATCTTCTTCATTCAATCATCTATCAATGGACACTTGGGCTGCTTCCATAATTTGGTATTGTAAATAATGCTGCCATAAACATAAGAGTACATGTGTTCTTTTGAATTAGAGTTTTTGTATTTTGGGGGTGAATATACAGTAGTGGAATTGCTGGATGATAGGGTAATTCTATTTTTAACTTTTTGAGGAACAACCGTACTGTTTTCCACAGTGGCTGTGCATTCCCACCAATAGGAGACAGCACAGATTTCTAACATAGGGTTGGTATCGAAAGAGATGATCTGTTTATAGACTCCTAAATAGGAAGGTTTGCTTGAGAATCACCACCTGGTCTAGATTTCACTAATAGAAAGAAAAAGGAAACACTAATTTTCACCATACCAAACAGCAGAATCTTTTTTTGTTTTCTGGACATCATCTGGAAGGCACTGATAAACACACAGGTGGAAAATCCCCATATGATAATCAAGAATTGGCAGCAAATGTATCGACATGTTCCCATAGATGACTGTGATTTTTCCTGATTCTCCTGACTCACCTAAAAAGATCAGAATTCAGGAAATAAATTAGGGGTCAATCTTAAGTTAATGGTCTGTGTGGGAAACTTGTTTTGGATGTCTGCATTGATAATGTGCCCTTTGTCCAAAATAAAAGTATTAGTATTTTTAACTATTAGAAATATGCGCATATCTTGAGAAGGAGATTTGTAAGTGTACATATTTCAATGTTTACAGTATATACAAAGATGCTATTATAGCTATTCATTTTATTTTTTCCCCAGTTTTATTGGTATACTTGACAAATAATTGATTTTATTTGAATTCAATGCATTCCATCAACTACCACCTGCCTTCTCCACAACAAATACTATTCTGGACATTTTGCAAACATCAATCCATTGTATTGTCCTAACAACTCTCTGAATTAGGTATACTTAGGTCCAATTTATTACTCGAAAACTAAGGCTCTGTCTTCTGTGATACAATATAAGATTAGAACTTCTTCAAAGGACTTCTATCCTACTTCAACTAACAGAATGATCCAAAAATTTACTAGCAGCCACCAAACAAGAAAAGGGGTTTAAACTAGTGCTACAAACTTTAAAATCAGGTGCTCAAAGAAAGAAACAGAAGATTCTGGAGTTGAGCAGAGAAGCAAGTGCCTTAACTCCTAACACCACCTCCACCATCCAGACATCGTAATGAATTTGAAGAATTCTCACTAATCTCGAGTCTTGAGAAAGGCAACCTGGATAACACCCTTGTCTTTCTTCTGTCCCTCCTCCTTTTTCTTCTTCCTCTTCTTCATCTTTCTTTTCACAAAGCAGTAATGAAAGGGAACCGGGGTGGCTCAGTCAGTTGAGCGTCTGATGCTTGATTTCAGCTCCAGTCATGCTCCCAGGATCGAGCTCAGCGTTGGGTTCCACGCTGAGTGTGGAACCTGCTTGGGACTCTCTCTCTCTCTGTTCCTCTGCCATTCTCCCTTGCTCATGTGTACTCTCTCTCTAAAATAAAATTTTTAAAATGTCTTTCAAAAAAAACAGTAATGGAAACTGGCAAAGAAAAAGACAGAATGCTCAAACCCAAAGAAAACCTAATTCAAGGAATGAAAGGAAACTCCCTGAACTTGCATCATTGTATAAAAATCAAATAAGAATAAACTAAAGAAACCAAGAGATTAAATGAAAGAACAAAGTAAAAAGAGGGCTTGTTAGTCAAATGGAAATTTTTAAAAAATGTTTGTTTATTAATTTTTGAGAGAGAGAGAGCACAAGTGGGGGTGGAGCAGAGAGAGAGAGAAGGAAACATTGAATCTGAAGTAGGTTCCAGGCTCTGGGCTATCAGCAAAGAACCGGATGCAGGGCTTGAACCCATGAACTGTGAGATCATGACCTGAGCCAAAGTTAGATGCTTAACCAACTGAACCACCCAGGCACCCCAAAGGGAAAATTGAAGACTAAAATAATATCATTAACAAGCAAATAAATATATATATAAAAACAGAATAGTGTCTACTAAAAATTTGAATTACTGTAATAGAGGAAAACTCTGAGATAATCACAATATATATTGATGAAAATGAAAACAAGTGAACACAGAGAGAAACTGAGATGGAAAATAAAGACAATCAAATATAAGGATAATTATTGTCTCTTATTTAGAGAGCCAATATAGAATACATGGAAATGCACCACTTGGATCTTCTATCTTGGGGAATGTGAGTTTTAATATTTTTCCTTCTATGGTAAATGTAGACAAAAGAATACTTACATTTGTTTTGCCTGTGACCTTGCCATCAGCAGAAATTAAATGTGTTCATATGAAATCCAATTAACCAGACTTTTGAAATACCTTTAATGTTCATTACAACTTCAAAATTATGGTAGTTATTAGTCCCATGACTAGATCTGATTGTTTAATGTGTAATCAAGAAACACATATATTTTTATATCACAAAATTTTAAAAATATTTTGATAATTGATCTTTAATATATTGGCCTTCTTTGTCATCCTATGTATTATACTTGTAAGCTTTTTAAAAAATTTTTTAATGTTTATTTATTTTTGAGAAAGAGAGAGACAGAGGGTGAGCAGGGGGTGGGGTAGGAGCAGAGAGAGAAGGAGACACAGAACTGTGAGATCATGACCTGAAGCGAAGTCAGATGCTTAACCTACTGAGCCACCCAGGTACCTTACTTTAAGCTTTTTTAAATATTTATTTACTTTTGAGAGAGAGCAAGAGAGCAGGGGAGGGACAGAGAGAGAGGGAGACAGAGGATCCAACAGGGGAGAGCCCGATGTGGGCCTCAAACTCATGAAATGTAAGATCATGACCTGAGCCAAGTTTGGATGTTTAACCAACTGAGCCACCCAGGTGCCCCTATATTTTAGGCTTTAAAAAAAAAATTCTGAGGGGCGCCTGGGTGGCTCAGTTGGTTAAGCGTACAACTTTGGCTCAGGTCATGATCTCACTGCTTGTGGATTTGAGCCCCGCATCGGGCTCTGTGCTGACAGCCAGCTCAGAGCCTGGAGCCTGTTTCGGATTCTGTGTCTCCCTCTCTCTCTGACTCTCCCCTGTTCACACTGTCTCTCTCTCTCTCTCAGAAATAAATAAAAAACATTAAAAATTAAAAAAAAAATTGAAAAGGGGTCCATAGACTTCACCAAACTGCCAAAACGGTCTACGACACAAAAAGTACTCCTACAGTCACATCCCAGAAAAGTCTGCAGCCCCTACAACATTACATAACACATGGAAAGGACCCATGCAAGGGAAGGATCCTGAAACTGAATCTCCATCAGTTTTACAATAAATTGATCACTGGTTGTTACTGAAGCAGTCATTCTAAAGGATTAAAACTCAGGTGTTGGGGCTCCTGGGTGGCTTAGTCGGTTGAGCATACAATTCTTGGAATTGACCTTGGTAATGATCTCGCAGTTTGTAGGATTGAGCCCCGTGCTGGGATCTGCACTGATGGTGTGGAGCCTGCTTGGGATTCTCTCCCTCTCTCCATCTGTCTCTGCCCTTCCTGCATACTCTCTCCCTCTCTCAAAATAAATTTTAAAATTGAAAAAAAAGAAAAGAAAAAAACCCCACCCTAGTGTTGATAATGTCAGAGTAACAAGATAGTGCTCCTGACACAATGACAAGATTGTACTGTCACTAGAATGCCCCTGCAGACTTCTATGTGACGGAGAAAAAGTCTGTCTTGCTTAAGCTACTATATTTTGGTGTCTCTTTTGTATAGCAATCCAATCTGTTCCCTAACTGATATATTACATTTGCAAATATGACTCCCAAGAGATAAAATCATTCCCCATCACTTGCAATAAAAAGATGAATGACAAAGAAATAAGGATTTGGGGGCCTGAAAGGACCTTACCAACTATAGGAACCCAAAATGTAACTCAACCCACAGACTCTTAATAAATGGTAGAACTGGGGAGAGTTGCATATTCATTATTAGTTATTTTTCTTCACAGTATCTAATCTCCTAAAATTTTCTAATGCCTTACAAATACAAATATTCAACTGAAAATTATTTCATGTTAACCATGTCTAGTGAAAAGCATTCCTAAATTTTTAAACCTTTTCCACCAAAAGAAAAATGAAGAAGTTTCCCTATATATGTTGAGCTGTGCAACAAAAGTAACGCCATCATCCCCTTCTCTAAATTCTCCCAAATCTTCGTTTTATACTGGTGCTTTAAGAGAGGAAACAACTTCATAGAAAATCAGGGGTTTTTAGATGAAAAATCAAGGCCTGAACTGATACCTTGCCTAAACTTGTTTGATAATTGCTTTTGGAATTTGAACTCTAAGTATTCTCTCCCTCTAATCAAAAAGCAATATACACATCAAGTTGACTTTGTACTTGTGCTTTGACCCACATTAATGTTGCCTATGAGTATTAATTTCAAATTATATGGCTTATCCATTAAAATTCTCAATTCATAAGAAATAAATGCCTATATTTTTGGAAGCTATGCATCAGAGATTGTTTCTCAAAGAGGAATTAACTTCAAAAAATCCCTTTCCCCCCCAAATACTAACTTTCCAACTGGATTCTTTTTCCTCCAGTAGCTGTCAAGGAACGTATGTGGAGTGTTCAAGTTCACAACCAGCCCCACCCACGTTTTGTTTGCCTAAAATGAAGATCCCAAGAATCACACAGGCAAAGAAGGCATGGTGGCCCTTCTGCCTGAATTGTCTCTACAGTACTTCTTGGCTTGGAAATCTCTTCATCTCTCAGTTCCTGTTAGTTCATGCACCTTCAATGGTGCCAGCTAGAATCAGCGGCTTTGTCTTTTGTTTCCATAGCATGTAAGTTAGGTCCCTATTTTAGCACTTGCAACCTACTACTTGAATCTGATTATATGCTGTCTCCTCAACCAGATTATGAGTTCCTCAAAGTTAGGGGCAGAGTTGTCAGTCCTCTCAGTGATGCCGGGATAAAATGGGTGTGGAATCAGTAAGACAGAAACCGGAAGAACAAAGTTTGATAAGAAAAGTTAGAGGTAGAATGCAGAGTAACTCCTCAAGCCAACCTTCACCTGCAGTGGCTTTTTCCTTCCAATGCATTCAGTTTCAATGAAGAAAATGAGATGAGTAGGGTTCATGGCAAAAGAATCTTACTAACTATAGTAAAATAATTTTCTTATAAGAAGCTCAAGGTAATTTAAGGTTTATCTCCAACTGTGCCTTTAAGTGAGGCTGACTCATCACACATTGTATAACCAACACAAGTGCTCAAAAGTGAAAGCTAGGTCCTAAGCCTTCTCTTCTAGCAATTGCTTTGCACCATTTTGCTTTGTTTTTCCCACATTTGTTCTTTGTTCACACTACCTACCCTATACCTATCTCAGTTTATCACACTAGAACTCCCTGACTTTTTCTGCTGGAAAACACTGGGAGGGAATTCAGGTCCATTTTCAGGCTTCATAATGCAGTTTTCAGGCTTCATGGTTGTAGTTGGGGTTGGGGGTGGAAGAAAGAACCCCCAGGCAAAGACTCAGGCACTGGCAACTGGAAGTTCAGGAAAGCATACTGAGTTTTCCAGGGACATGTTTAGGACACTGACAGCATGTACTACACATTGTCTACTATGGGCTAAACTAATACTTTTTTTTGTATAGGGGGAAATGCAGCCATTTTATGCTAGCTCCTTATTCAGACTATTACATAAATGATAATGGGATAAACAACAATCTTGGCCTTACCCCATATTATTCTGATCCCAAAATGAGCCAGAGGACGGAGGGTAGCCAGAGTATACCTGTACTTCCTGTCTTTAGGATTACTATCTTTATAAATTCGATTACCCTAAGTACCTCACATAAGTTGATTCATACAGTTTTTTCTCTTTGTGACTGGCTTACTCTACTTAACATAATGCCTTCAAGGTTCATTCATGCTGTAGTGTGTATCAGAATTTCCTTCCTTTTTAAGGTTGAATGTATATACCATGGTTTATTCCTCTATTTGATGGGCATATAGGCTGCTTCCACCTCTTGGATTGTGAATAATGCTACTATAAACATGGGTGTATAAATATCTCTTCAAGTCTGTTTTCAAGTCTTTTGAGTATATACCTAAAAGTGGAATTGCTGGATCACAATTCTATTTTTAATTTTTGATGAACTGCCACACAGTTTTCTATAGCAGCTGCACCATTTTATATTCCTACCAACAGTGCAAAAGTGTTTCGATATTTCCGTATCCTTACTAACATTCATATTTCTGTTTGTTTTTCTGTAGTAGCCATCGTAATGGATGTGAGGTGGTATAGTTACCTTAAACAGAAAAGGAAATCAATCATTAAAAACTGTTTGAAGCAGTGGAGCAGCGAACTCTAGACTGGTCTTCCAGAATGATTCCCAACACCATAAACTAATTCACTATGGGAGCGATTACGTTTGTCACTGTCACAAAAGAGGGAATCAAAAGGCTGCTATTGGAACTGCTGAGTTCATTAATGAACTATTGTTATTGTGGTATCAGTTAACTATGCCTACAACAATGATGCTTGACAAACAACCACAACTTTTCATTACCCTTAACGATAGTAGGTATTTATTTAGCCCATGAGCTTGTGTGTGGTTGGCTGGGGCAGGCTGTGTTTGTCAGGGGCAGCTTGATTGAGGCAGCGCTGTACCATGTGTCTCTCATCCACTTCCTGGGACCAGTGGCTTTACAGAGGATGTTCATTGCATGGTGCTGTCAGAACAGTGAGTGGAACTTAAAGAAAAAGTGCCAAAACTTAAAAGACAGGTGTCAACAACAATGTAATGCAAGACAATAAATATTAGTACAGCACATTAACAAATGAGTTTGTGTAATCAGGTAAAACCCACTACAGCGCACGTAAATATTGTGTCCAGAAAATATTCTTTATTTTAAAAGAAACAACTTCCAAGCTTTGCACAGTGGCAGTATTGTAGCCAATGAGTTTCATCCGAGGCAAAAGAAACCACTTCCAAATTCCAGATATTGGTGAAGTTGATCTATATCTTTTGTTTGTTTGTTTGTTTGTTCATTTGTATATTGGTGTGGAGGAGAAAGAGAGTATCCTAATCAGGCTCCAAGTTGTCAGCACAGAGCCTGACACTGGACTCCATCTTATGACCTTAAGATCAGGACATGAGCCGATATCAAGAGTCTGACAGGCTCTTAACTGAGTCACCCAGAAGCCCTGATTAATATCTTCTAAAACTTTGTAACAGGGACTCCCTTCTGGCAGCACATGCCACATTTCCATTCCTGTCCTTCCTTTTATCCCCCCTCAAGTAGGCTCCATCTGACCAAGGCAGGGCTCAAACTCACGACCCTGAGATCAAGACCTGAGCTGAGATCGAGTCAAGTGCTCAATCGACTGAGACACCCAGGTGCCCCTCGTCTCTACTTGTACAGTGACATTTCCACATTGACATCAAAAAATAGATTCCAGCCTGTTTTAGAATATAACCATTTGATCAACACAGGAATGTTCATTTCAGTAGCAAGATTCTTCTGGGCAGGGAATGAATGACAGCAGAACACCTCATAGTAAGATAAACCAACACACAAAAACCCTGTTGTATCTGGTGCTGAAGACCCAGTAGGTGCTCTGAGATTAAAAAATCTATCTTCAAGAAACTACAAATATGATAGTTTCCAGAGAGAGCCCCTTTGTTACTGCATTTTCTTCCTGACCCAATTTTGCAGAAACCTGGTGGCATAACCTTCAGGGCATAGGAGAAACATGTTGCTTATAAATCTAGTTTTTAATATATTTTAATGTAATGATTACTGCTCTGTTGTGAATGTTAAAATTATGTTCTTTTAAATCAGGCTTTAGGGAACACCAACATTATTAGTTTTCTATATAGAGTAAGGGATATAAAATTCCAACTATATTTAACTTAAAAACAATCTGCCTTTAGACATAATGGTAAACTCTATGTTAGTTAAAACAAGCAGAGCAAAAAAAAAACAAAAAAAAAAAACAAGCAGAGCAATCAACCAGACATTCTAGAATCTCATCTCTCTCATCCATGAACCTTTGCTCATGTTGTTCATCCATAACAGAATTCCATATAAATGTCTCTTTGCCCAATCACAAGCTAAATATTTTTAAAGGCAGCTCAAAGTCTGAAGTGTGTATCTGCACATGCATGTGTATATGCGTGGTCAAGGACTCAAAAACACAGACATCCAAAGAAGCTAACCCCAGTGAAGGTAGCTTTATGGAAAACATTTCAAGAATCTCATGAAACATGAGGATGGGAATACTGGACCTGTACCAAACTGGTCCTGGGGAGTTGAGAGTTACCTGGAACCACAGCTATACTACTTCTCAGGAGCTCTTTGGTCCTGTTTCTCCACTAGAATCTTTTCTCACCAGAACACAGTCATGAACTTCACAGCTTGGCTCCTCAGTTTCAGAGACCACCACTGGCTAGAATGTCTCTTGACATTCCTTAGTTCCAGGTTCCAAGAGAGGGATTGTGATTAGGTCATCACTGTGACCGATGATGAGCCTTCTTTGGGTCCTCTAGAATAACCAACTAGATCAAAGAACACATATCACAACATTGTCACTCAGGCATCATGGGCAAGATGGGCAAAGACACATGCGTGTAGTGCGCCATTCGTGTATACATGGTTATTACTTGTAAGGCATATTATAGCTTCACAATATTACATTTTAAAATTTACTCTTTGTCTTCATCAAAATTCAGCCAGAAAACAGAAAACCTACTTACATATTTATAATAGAGGGAGTTTAACAATTAATAGAGGGAAAATTGATAACACAAATTATAGGAGAGCTGACAGTAACAAAATGGGAGACAGTGAGGCAACCCAGAGATTAGTAAGAGCAGAGAGCTACAAGCACCCTGAGGCCTGAAAGACAAAAGGAAGACGAGCTGGTGCTACCGGGATCTAGGATCAGACTTCCCCAGCAGAAGCTAGAAGCTAGAATCAGCCTAAATACAGGGACCTGAGGTCATGCAAGAGGCTGGAGATGCTGCTTAGGGAGAGAGAAGGAGAGAGAATACTCTGGCCTTTCCCTTCCTCCCACTTTTTAGTCTTCTCCTGTATCTGCCACTGGCCTGACCCTCCTGACATGGAAACCTGGTCTGTTAGTCAGCTTGGGCTGTCGTAAGAAAATACCATAGACTGAGTGGCTTAAACAGCAGAAATGTACATATCAGAGTTCTGGGAGCTGGAAAGTCCAAGATCAAGGTGCTAGCATGGTGAGTTTTCTGGTGAGGATTCTCTTCCTAGCTTATGGAAGGCTGTGTTCTTGCTGTGTCCTCACAGAGAGGACTGGGAAAGGGAGGGAGAGGGAAGGAAGAGAGGGAGCGAGAGGGAGGGAGTCAAGAGGGAGAGATCTCTTCTTCTTTTTATAAGGCTACAGCCCTCTTGGATAGGGCCCCACACTTATGCCCTCATTTAACCTTAATTATCTCCTAAGGAACCTATCTGCCGATACAGTCATCTTGGGGGTTGAGGAGTTTTAATATATGAACCTGGCAGGACAGTTTAGGACAGAGCACTAGGGAAATGCAGCTTCTTGCCACCCCTACTAGACTGTGATACAGAAAAGGCAAGAAACAGATCTGAGCACAAAGGACAGGCATACTCTTTCCAGTACTACGAGGTATACACCATCATTCCTACTTTACATATTAAGAACAGACAAGTTCAATAAACTTGTCCAAAGCCACAAATTAGTAAATGACAGCAGAAGATTCTAATCTGGGTCTTCTCATTCTGAATCCCTCAAATAATAACTTCCATTGAGCCCTCAACATATATTTCAACTATCCTGAGCTCACCTTTCTTTGATTTTTATACTACTTTTATTCTTTACCTTGCAGTTCATCAGAGGTTACCATCTTGTTTTACTTCCATCATTCTTGTGAAAAATATTCCATTATGCTACATCTCTCCAAATGAACCAAAAGTACCTTAAAATCAGGGATCGCATAGCTCTTCAAACAGTGCCCATCATCTTGTCTAGGCACACAGTAGGTGCTGAATAGTTGAGTGATTTTCTCCCACAATATTTGCTACAGTATTGTTGAGGAAGATCCTATTATTTCATGTTAACAAAATCCTTCATTTAGTTTCCAAAATGCCACAGTTCTCTACTCACTAAGAAAAATTTCCCATGACTCAAGGAAATCATCTGTATAAAGATTGTTTATTTTAGATGCAATCCCATAGAATGGCCTATTGGTGTGAATCAGGATCTTTAAATATTTTCCAGTTTGCCTCTTAACTGAGTTATCTGTCAAGGTTATCTTTTATCTTCTCCATTATTCATCCTTATTGTGAAATTGCTATCCTCTTTTGCTATAACTGTCCTGCAAATATCCAGCTTGGTCACTGTTGATCAGCAATACACCACACCATACTTTGTAGATAAAACTTATAGAAAAATCATAAATTTCCTTGCAAAAGCTCTTGATGGAAAATGATAAGATTTTTTTGATTGTCACCATCTATGTTATGCAATATGCAATGTATTTTGAAGTCACTCAGAATATTATGAGCATAATCAGATATAAAACAAGACTAAATTTTATAGTAGTTGCATCTAAATATTAAAACCACGTTACCTTTCAGTTTACTTTATCTGAGTAATGTAAGAAGTCATAAGTAGTAAAAAGTTTTTCTCTGAGTGTCTAACTCCTCGGTCACCAGCACTTTCTCCACATTACTTCTGGCATGGCCGCATGAACTCTTCACCCCTTTCGAGAATGGCAGTTCTACCGTTCTCCCCATCCACTACCACGAACCCCACTCCTTCCTATCTTGACTGCCTCCCTTGCCCCAAACGTTCTTTTTCTGCATCTTCATTCAAGCTGCTGAACATTCTCAGAGAAAATAACATAATCCAGCTAAAAGATTCCTGTGCTTCTGTCTTTTTTGTGGGGTGAGAGGGGTAGAGGTTGTTTTGTCTTTTGTTTTTGTTCTTCTTTTGAGGAGGTGGAAGGCTGTACCTTTTCTTAAGTTTTAGGGAAGGTTGATCGTTCCTGTCTAACCCAAACTATACTTAATATTAAAATTTCTTTAATTAAGGGGCGACTGGGTGGCTTAGCCGGTTAAGCGTCCGACTTTCGCTTCGCGGTTCGTGGGTTCGAGCCCCGCGTCGGGCTCTGTGCTGACTGCCAGCTCAGAGCCTGGAGTCTGCTTCAGTCTGTGACTCCCTCTCTCTCTGACCCTCCCCTGCTCACGCTGTCTCTCTCTCTCTCTCCTAGAAATAAATTTAAAAAACATTAAAAAATTTTCTTTAAAAAAATTTAACTTACACCTATAGTTTGACAAGTCAAGCAACATGAAAAGATTTAGAGGACAAAACAATTTTCCCTCCAACTCCTCCAAACTCCAGTAGGTGCCCGGGTTTTCCTCCCTAGGAGCGGCTAGTGTTTTCATTTTTCTCTGCCTCCTTTGCAGAATCATATCATACTACTACTCAAGATAGGCTGGGTTATGCTGTGGTAGAAAATTTAATCCAGTGCCTCAGAGGTTAGACACAACAAAGGTTTTTGGTTTTGCATCAAACTACGTGTTCAAGCTACATCACCTTGTGATGCTGCCATCCTAGCATTTGGCTTCCAGAAGGAGAGAGCTGGACAGTTACACAAGAGCTTTTCTCTACTTGGACTCACACTGGCCAGAGCTAATCACATGGTCCACTAAACTGCAAAGAGCAATTTTCTGTGTGCCCAGGAAGCAGAAGAGACCCAGTTTTTGGTAAGCACTAATAATCTCTATCGCCTAAGTACTTACAATGTGATTTTTACACAAATAGGAGCACATACTAGACACGCTTTTCTACACTTTGGCTTTGCTCTGTTTTTTTCACTTACAGTGTATGTTGCATAAGACAGTTTTCGATGTATGGCCATACTGTCATTTCTTTAACTAGTATTTGGTGTTTATCATCTTTTGTCACTACAAACAGTAGTGACAATTTAATCAATATCCAAATTAACAGTCATATTAATAATAACTGGCATGCATAGAGACCTCATAATATGCAAAGCACTATCCAAAATCCATTGCATGGTTTAATTTATTTAACACTCTCAGCACCCCCATGTGAGACATGACATAATTCATAGGTACCTCATGTACAGTGGCAGAAAGTGTCCTTACGCCCAGGCAGTTGGCCTCAGAGCCTGTCAAATTCACAAAGGTGTTTGCATCTATAAGCACAGATTTCTGTAGTATAAACTTCTGTCAGTGAAATTTGTGGATCATAAACTGTTTACATTTTAAATTCTATCAGATATTTCCAGAAGTATTAACTACTTTTTGTATCTTCCAATTCCACCCTGTTCTGAGGTCATCCATCCCATACTGGCTTCTACAAGCTTCTTGCGTATGCAAACTGACAGCACCTTTTCTTGACGTTCTCAGCACTCATGCATGGGAATCCCAGGACCATGGGGAGGTTTAAGAACTTTACCCTTGACCAATGAGAGCCAACTGATGAATGCTTCTCTCTTTCTTCCCCAGGTGGGAACTTCTGTGACACATTTCCTGCATCTCCTCAGAAGATTTCACAGAACTGAGTGGCAGTCTTCTGAAGCAGCGACCAACTGAGGAGCACACCTTTCTACTGGCCTTTCTTCTTCCTTTTTGGCTCTCCTGTCCCTCCTTCTTGCTCCCTGAGATCACTTCCCAAATACAGTATCTGCTACTTGTCTCAACCCTGCTTTCTTTTTAACTAAGCGTAGTGAATTCAGTGGCTCAACCCCTAGAGCTCCCCTCTCTCTTCCTTTCTCCTGCCCCTGGGACAATTGACTGCTGGTGTTCACAGCTAAGTACTTTTCACGGTGTTGCCATGACCAAAGGAAGCTGCTTCATCCATGCTGATAGCCCCTCCCACAGGCTAACCATTGGCTGGTAGATTTGGGGACAAAATAGCCTTGCCTTGATCTGAAACAACTCTGAAGGTCAAACTCAGCTTCAGAGATTTCTGTGGAATTTGCCAAACCCTTCTACTCCCTCTGCTCACTCCTGCCTTTCTAACTCCCTTACTTGTGGTATTCTCGAGAATAGTCCCCAGTAAACCCCTTACATTTCTGTATCCCCCTCAGAGTACATTTCCAGGAAACATGATCTAAGATATTAAACCCAGACCATTAGTACCAGGAGTAGCCCTAGAAGACAGGTGCTTAGGATGGGATTTGGCAACTGGATCAATCAGAGACAGCAATAAGACCCCACCACAATTCCCAAGACCATCAGTTGTGAAAGACTGAGGTGAAGTACAGGTGAAAGCAAAGTATTGGAATATGCAGTAAGGATGGTACTTAATTATAATGATTGTGGTGGTAGCCTGAAATGTTTTTATTTGAAAGGTTTTATAGGGACTAAACAAGTGGATTGCACAGGGATATCATGGGGATCTCTATTCCTGAATTCTTTAAGCATTGATGGAGGCACTAGACATTGCATTTTCTCTGGACTGTGGTATTACTTATGATTCACTATGTTGGCTGGGTGGTGGGGTGGGGTGGGGGGAACAGTTTAGAGGCATATAGAATGACTGGTCTGTCAGCACAGCAACTGACACAACCGTCTCCTTTAATGAAGAGACCCATCTTATGGCGTATGCAGTGTGTCGGTGGGCACGTGAGCACTAGATTCATTCATTTTAGCACATACCTTCCAAAGCATCTAGCTTATTCGATGGTTAAATAAATTTTTACAGGCTCAAATAACTCTCCAATTCAAGGACATTTGGGGAAGGGTTGGGGAGAGGGAGAGCACTGTCCCTGAAATGTAGTGAAAGCTTTAAATCAGCACTCTATAAATAGTGTTATGTCCCCAGAATACATAGACCTAGGTTGGAATACATAGACCTAGAAAACAAGAAGTGGGATTAATCTCTTTCACTATCATTATCAGGGACATATTTTCAGTTTCTGTGCTTTCCTGAACACAGTAAGAATTTCTGAACTAGAAATTCTGATTACCAACCGGTCTCTCTGGGCCAGTGGGCCAGCAGTCAAAGAAAGAGGTTACTCTACTGTTAGAGAAAATAAATCCTGATTATCATGAGAAGATAGGCAGGATTATGTTTTTAACTCAAAGAATTCATGAGGGTATCCCTTGGTGTTTCCACACCTAGAAATAATTATGAACAAGTGATTGCAGCGGCCATAGTCCTCAGTGGCTGATCATGGCTCCAAACTCTCAGAGTGAAGGCCTGAGTCACTTCCATCCCTTAACCCAGTCAAGCAAACTGGACTAGCTGAAGATATGCAAATGGCCTAGAAGCATATAGAAAGATGCTCAACATCACTAATCTTTAGGGAGATTCAAATTAAAGCTACAGTGAGAAAACGCTCACCCATTAGGATGACTATTTTTAAAAAATGGAAAATAACAAGTGTTGGCAAAGGATATGGAGAAATTGAACCCTGTACATTGTTGATAGGAATTTAAAATTGTGCAGCCACTGTGAAAACAGTATGGTGGTTTCCCAAAAATTAAACATAGAATTACCATAGGATCTAGCAATTCTATTCCCAGATATATAAAAAAAAGAATTGAAAGTAGGAACTCAGGGACAACTGGGTGACTTAGTTGATTAAGCATCTGACTCTGGATCTCAAGCTCAGGTCTTGACCTCAGGGTCGTGATTTCAAGCCCCACGTTTGGTTCCACGCTGTGTGTGAAGCCTACTTAAAATGTTTTTAAAAAGTACGGACCTGAACAGATACTTGTACACCAATGTTAACAGTAGCATTGTTCACAATAGCTGAAAGGTGGAAAAAACTCACATGTTCATTAACAGGTGGATGAATAAATACAATTGTGTGTGTGTGTGTGTGTGTGTGTGTTATAATGGAATATTATTTAACTTTAAAAGGGAATGAAATTTTAAATATATGCTACAGCATGGATGAATCTACAAAGGATTATGCTATGTGAAATAAGCCAGACACAAAAGGACAAATATTGTATGATTTCACTTACATGAGGTACTTAGAATAGGCAAGTCCATGGAGACAGAAAGGATAATAGAGGTTAAGAGGCTAAGAACAGGGGGAATGGGGAGTTGTCATTTTAACGGATATGAAGTTTCTGTTTGGAAGGAGAAAAAGTTCTGGAAATAGAAAGTAGCAATGGTTGCACAATATTGTGAATATACTTAATGCCACCGAATTTGCACTTCAAAATAGGTATAATGGTGACTTTGATGTTATGTACATCTTACCACAATAAAAAATACAAAAAAAGTTTTAAAAAGGAATACATGTAGAGAAATATTCCAGTATACTGATGCTTTATCTACTTGTTATCAAGGATGCAACTAGATAGAAATTTAGACAAAACAAGAACAATTTACTGTTTTCCATTTTTGTTTAATATTGAATGCAATATTCTTCTAGAATATCAATTGGGATATAGATAAAAGGATTCCACTTACCTTGTTTATCTCTTCATGTGAACACACCCTGTGCTATTAGAATAAGTAATTGTACAGTTAAAAGTAGGAAGGGATAGAAACATTAGTCACTGAACCAGTGAGTATTTTATTACTCACTAATCCAGCTATGGAAATTATGCATGCCAAATAAATATTTATTTTACCAGTTTTGTACCTTTTAGGGCACTGGGAATCTTCCAAGAAATTTCCATGTGTAGTTAGTTTTCTTCTATATTCATATACTATATAGTAAGTTCTTAGTCTAAGTGTATAATTATATTTCCTAGGGATCCCTTCAGAGACTGATAAAAATGATAAATTAGCCATTGATGCAAGGTCTGCCATTTTTTTTGTGTGTAATTCCACAGGAAATTTCAGAGACAAAACTGCCTTATAAACTGTAATAGAAAATATAATAGTAGAAAATACAAATGCAGTCATAAATTGGTACAGAAAATGCATAACTAGATGAGGTGGAAGAACTGATAAGCAATATAAAAAGCATGTTTTTGTTTTTATTACTTAACTGAAACAGTCACAGTGACACATTCATTGCTTTTGTAATACATGAAAGTCGTTATTTCTGTATTTAGAATTAGTAACATAGGATCTGGAATTTTGACTATTATTTCCTCTGAGATTGTATAAACCTTCCCAAAATGCAGGTGTGGTTAATATTTCACTAATGTAATTCTTACTGCTTTCACAATTATAACTCAAATACATCACCTCTTCTAGCATATTGATTTGTCGTCTTATTCTGTGAATTTTTCTTTAAAATTACCTCCATTCTTGATTTTCTGTGATTACACTATTTTTTTCTTTGGACTTTACCTTTTTACATAAAAGACATAGAGTATAAAATTACGTGTTTCAAATGAATTCTCTGAACAATAGCTTAAAAGTAAAACATGTTGATTGATACCCCTAAGACCCTGAATGCTCAAGGCTAGGAAACTTGGCTCTAATTTGAGGTAATATGCTAACCAAGAGTTAGCTATTTATCCTCAAGACTCTTGATACCAGTTGTACTAATTATTATAATTATATAATTCATTTAAGTATTACATAAAATGAGAAATGCTAGTGCAAGTAAGTTAGGCTCTAATTCCGTGAAAACTGAGTCAAGTTCTTATGCTTAAAAAGTGAGTTGCTAAAAAATATAATCAAATTACATGCAAGTGAGGCAATTGTAAAAAAAATTTTAACTGTAAAAATCCACAAAGATTCTGCATTCAGACTGTTCTGTAGTGTCTTTATATTCTATTTTCATGTTAATGAAATAGAAACCATAAAATTGAAGATACTGCAAATGAATGTGATTTGTGCAAAAAAAAAAAAAAAAGAAAAAGAAAAATTCAAAACTTCTAATCAGGAGCCAAAATTCTAAGAAAAGAACTTGGTTCCAATGGAGATTTGGTGAATGAATGCACAAAATATAGACCTTAATTTAAGAAATGTTATATATCTTTTGGTATTATTTTCTCCTTTAGCCACTTTTTAAAAAATCCAAATATATTTGATATGTAATGCTGTGTAAATTTAAGGTGTACATCATGTTAATTTGATACATTGATATATTGTGACAATTGCCATTGTAGCACTTCCATCACATCACATAGTTACCATTTCTTTTTAGTGGCTGGAATAATTAAGATCTAGTCTCTTAGGAAATTTGATGGTTATAATATAGTATTGTCTATACTTACTACGCTGTGCATTAGATCTCTAGGGCTCATTTACTACCCATTGCATTGACCACTTTTTTGATTAACTGACTAATTACCAGCGACTAATGTGTCAGAAAAGATTTTTCAAGCTATTAGACTACAATCTGGAAGGGCTCTGTTTTCATGGCATCTTAATATTCCTAAAATGTGTCATAAAAAGCTGAAATGTTTTACTAGTACAAGACTTCTGTTATTTGGTTTGTAAAACATGAGAATATGGTTCAGGATGGAATAACAATGCCTAAAATCTTAATGTGTTGCACTTATGATAATGTTGGTATAGGCTACATTTGTGATTTATGGTATGATTTATAAGATAAATTTCTATTTTCTTGCTTTTTAAATTTTTAAATTTCCATTTTAAAATAGGGTGAGTTGTTTGCTTTCTTGTTTGTTTTGTTCTAGTGTGAATTTTTATTATTGTCATTGTTTTAGTAAAAATTGGGAGTGGGGAGTACAAATGTAATACTTTGTTTTTCAGACTTTCCAGGAATTAGAAAGTATAAATAGCAACAAAAGAACCTTTAAAAAATATTTT